TTCACCGGCAGCTCCAGGAATTCCACAGGCACAAGCAACGCAAGAGACAACTACAATGCTGCTGGGTTTTATGGGTCAGAAGCCCCTGAGGCTATTATGCGAAAATTGGCAGACTACGCCTTTATGTTGAGGGATTGGAAACTGGCGCATTCAACATATGATCTTTTGAGATCCGATTTTAGCGATTCCAAGGCCTGGAAACATCACGCCGCTGCCAATGAGATGGCTGCGCTCAGTCTTTTGCTTCTTCCACAACAGATGTCATCGAAGAATCGCGCCGAGACAATAGATCAAATGTTGGAGGCTGCGTTTTACTCCTACAACACCCGGTGCAGTGCCCCCTACGGAGCACTGCGAAGCTTGCTCCTGGGTTTAGAGCTATTGCGTTTACGGGGCGGGACCAATATTGATGATGCAGGCCGCTGGGGCGTGAGGCTTCTTGAGTCTAAGATCTCTGGCAGCGTGGGTGATGCATTAATAAAGGAACGACTCGCTATTTGCTATGGTTCTAAAGAGGGGGTCGGCAGTTGGCACTGGGGCTCGCGCCGTCGAAAATCAGCAACTTGGAGCGTACTCAGTGCAGATGCGTGGCTTCAGCAGTCCAAGCACATCCAGGCGAGGCGATGTCTTGACGAGGCCCAGAGGATGTACTCGACTTTGACCCATAAGGAGGGGATCACCAAGTTTGAGGCAGCAGGTGACTTCATGGCATCGCTGCAGCACAGTCTTGCAGAGTCGCCAGACGTGTCGGACAACGAAGGCGAGGGGGATGACGATGACGATATTGATGAGGAGAGTGAGGCCCTCAATGATATGAAGCCGAGGAGACCAAGTACAGCAGCGGTGGACATGTATCGGGATACAACGAAGGAGGAAGGTAGTAGCATGGATGGTGGCACATAGATAATATAACGACCAACGACTCAGATGCTTCCTTTCAGTATGATGCATTGTATAATTCTTTCTTCTGTGGTGGCGGCTCCAGTGGTGTGCAGCTCATGCTTCCCCATGGTTATAAGTGCAGAAATAAGGCGTGTCACTTTAGCAGGCTAAAGTGACCCTTAGTTGGGAGACAGGGAATAAATAATATTTAACAACAAGAAGTTCTGGACCCCAATTGATTTACAATACAACACTGAAGATACTTGAGTCAAAAGACTGTAACACCGAGGTGCAACCCTACGTGTGGTGTGATATCCTGTGTAAATATATGAGCCGAGGTTGTTCTACACAGCCTGTGCCGTTTGTGCACGTCGGCGGTCTTGCTCTTCTCTGACAATTATCTTTCGTTGCTCGGCTATCAAAAGGCGCCCCTTTCGAAAGGCGCCAAACGCGGATATGACTGAACAAGCTGCAACTACTGTCGCTATCTTCATCTCTACCTGAAATGCATCAGCGTAGGTGTAGCGGACAGCTGACCACTGTTCACTAGTGAGATGTGTGTTAGAGCCACCAATTGTTGCTTGCTCATAGGCCGTAAGAACGCCCGAAAGATACTTTGAGCTTTTCTCGTTCAGCAAGGCCGATGATGCTGCGATGCCCAAGCTACCACCCAAGAGCCGAACTTGAGAGAGAATGCCCTGTGCGGGAGCTAATGGTGTATCGTTAGCAACAGTCTTCTTCCACGACCCAAGCTGTGATGCCTACCGTAATCCCTAATGGGTACCTCTACAGTTGATAGCATTGTCGAAGACGCGACGGTTAAGCCAAAGCCAAGCCCACAAAATGTCATGTAACCAAGAAGTTTTGCATCGTTGGGCTCATGTGATAGCGACGTGAGCAAACCGCAGCCGATCGTCATTACACCTGAGCCAAGTACCAATGACTCAAAAGTGTAGTTCTTGGTGGCGTTAATTTTGCCTGCTAAAAGACTGCCAATGGCGGCTGTCCCCAACATTGGAAGCAACATGACTCCCGAGATGAGAGCAGACTTGCCACTAACAACTTGGAAGCGCAGGGGGATGGCATAGATTAGCAACAAGTAAGGAAAGCCGTTGAGGAGGGTGTTGGCAACGGCAGTAGAGTATATCCTATTGCTAAAGATGTTGATTGGGAATGCGGGAGCAAACCGATCGTGCCATCGATGCTGAATGAAGATCTGCCACGCAATGAGTAGACCGCACGCAAGCAGGCCACAGATCAGTGGCGCAATGAAAATGGAAGTTTTCCATCCATGGTTAGATCTTTCTGTGCCAGCATTTTGAAACGAGAAAACGACCAAAACTGCAGCAGCAATAACAAGGAGGGATCCAAGAAAGTCAAGTTCTTTCCAAGCACGTCGTTCTTGTGATGGTAGGTATTCCGGCTTGGGCCAAGTTAAGATAAATATGACTAGAGATACGAAACCAACAGGGCCACTACAAGTTGTTAGCTACATTATAAAGCATATATCTCAAGGCGGAGCAATACTCGATCCAAAATACCCATCTCCATGAAGCATAGTGTGTCAAGATGCCACCCAGAACAGGGCCAAGGACACCTGACATGGTTATGACCAAGCCCACCAGAGCCGCTATGTGCTGCTTCATATTATCTGGGCTGATTTCAGGCAGCATGATCATCGTGAGAGAGTACAGTCCTGACTCTGTTAACGATCTGGCGAACATGACGGTTCAGTAGAGCATACCTGAACCTCCGATGCCCTGTAGAGCACGAAAGGCGATGAGTTGGTTAATACTCTGTGCAAAACCACAGGCAAGAGAAAATACGAAGAAGATTATATAGGCTGCGATAAAGGCATCCCGACGTCCAACAATATCGGATATACGCGCGAAGACGATGGCGCATCCGAGATATGCAAGAGTGTATGCAAGAGCCACCCAGTTGACGTCCTCGAGGACCTCGAAGTCGACACCGATACTGTGTAGACTTGTTGCAACGATAGAGGTGTCGACCATAGACAGGAACAGGCCTAGAAGGACTCTTGGAGTATGTGTTAGCAGCGGGTAGCTACAAGAGATGATGGGACGTACCCAACACAAAGGCCCCAAAAACGAGCAAGTGGTATTCCAGGGGCTTCAGTTTCGTCGGAGTCTGAAGCGGGAAGTGATTGGTCTGTTTGGGAGCCAGAGATGGTTTCTGGTTTGCCATCGTCCTGGGTGCGCGTATCCACAGTATTTACTTTTGCATCCATGGTGAGTATGTGAAGGGGGTGAGAAAGACGATAATATTCCTGTGGGTTATTCCAAGAAGATTGCAAAAAGCGGTGAAATGAAGCAAGGCAGTCAGTCAGTTGACTGTGGGAGTTTGATAGTTTTGATCCTGGTAGAAGCCTCAAAATCTGGAGGCAGTATTGCACTGCGAGCAGGTTTGGCTGAATCACTGGCGTGTGGGGACCCTCGATCACCAAACAATAAGCAGCAGGTACGAGTAATTAACAGGTCTTTGTTTCGATGCTTCGTTTGCCTCGACCAGGCTTGGTATTGTGGTTCTACTAAAACGAGGTGATCAAGGGTTTCGGTCCCTTATATGATCAGGAAGACAGCTGCAAGAAAGTGGTCCCAGAGATCTGGATGTAGGCATTCCGCTGACGATGATGCATCTCTCACATATAATCACCCCGGCCAAATATTTGCGAGACATCCTATGAGAATCACTAAAACGAGAATTGGGGACCAACATGACTTTCCGACTGCGAGTCCGAGCTATCTTAGTGAAGCAGTCAGCTTGAGGACGTTGAAGTGGAGTGATGGAGGGTCCACTCTCGCACTCGCTTAAGATGGTCTCGAAGAATGATTGGCAGATCCTGAGGTGTCATCTCTAGGTGTTTGATGGATTAGGTAGGGATTGAAGATCTTTAAGGCCAAGGCCAGCGCTAGGCGTCAATGGGGAATCAATTCGAAGAATGGAAGCCAATCCTGAAGCTTGAAGAGAAATGAGCAAACCGCTAGTTACCTCCTGGGTAAGTTAGGTTAGTACCTTGCGTGCGGCTCTCTACCTAGGTACCTAGTGTATTGAAAAAGCTGTTTGTTAGGTACCTAGGTACTATAGGTAGAATCTAAAAGTCCGGTCGTGTAGACAAATGCTTGTTTGGCTGCAAGTGTCGATCTCGGAGTTTTTATCAGCGAATCAAGCATCTTTCTTCCACTGTATATCTACTTAGGTAGGTAGTGTTGGGAGCGACCGGTGAATTTCAGCACGGAATTCCGTTTCATCGTGAAAAGTTATAAGGCCCATTCAGAAGGTAAGCGTCTCATCCTACCTAAGGTACGGAGTAGTGCCCTGGGCTTTGCAATGACTCCATCTCTTTGCTGAAGGATCCTGCACTACCTCATTACTACTACCTAGATACCTTGGGTACTGACATAGAGCTAAACCTGAACTAATTATATCTTTTACTCTCTTCACTCAGTTTAATAAGTAAGTACCTTGGGTAGTTTACCTAGTGGCCAGCATCGCAGAGTACACAACAAGATTTACCAACGTCAAATTGCGTGTAAAGAATGGCTGGCCTGGTACTTTTACTTTCGTGTCCTGAGCTGTACCCTTCAAGTTCGGTGAAAAGCCATGATATACTTTCGACATTGCCCGCAGACTAATACAACCTAAAATTCAAAATGTTTTTATTTAAATCAACAACTCTACCTACCTACCTACTTACCTACTCGTCCTATTTCTTTCTCGTACGTCACATCGATCCGATTCCTCCAAAGGCCATCACAAGGCAAGAGCTGGTCCCATTTCAACAGCTCTGACAAAGATAATCCAATCACGAGCTTCAACCACCCCGACTAGGGACTCCACCCAATCGTGACGTAGCGCAGTTTCGGCCGTCTTCACCCACTCCACTCGAGCGCTTCATCAATATCGTCTATACTACTACTAGCAGTCTCTCACATCTTATCTGCGGTCTCGCAACGCTCGTTTATCCGAAGTCCGTCTGCTCGCTGTTTGACTCCCTACAGAACAAGCTACGCGGTGCCACATCGCATCATTACCTAGACAGCCACAGTCACGTACAAGTGCAAATACACTCTCGTTCACCAGCAGCGGACCTCAATATGGCCGATGTCATGATCCAGACCCCTCCGGTACTTCAAGGTCCATCAGAGAAGGAGCGGAAATACGACCGCCAACTCCGACTTTGGGCTGCCTCGGGTCAGGCTGCTCTTGAGTCAGCCAATATTCTCCTCGTCAACTCCGGTGCTGGTACCGTCGGCGTTGAGACTCTCAAGAATCTTGTTCTGCCAGGTATTGGCCGTTTCACCATTGCCGACCAGAATGCTGTAACTCATCAAGATTTGGGTGTTAATTTCTTCGTAGATGATAGCTGGCTGGGCAAGTCTAGAGCTGAAGCTTGCACCAACTTTCTATTGGAACTTAACCCTGAAGTACAGGGTGAATGGTATCCTAAAACCCAGGTATGTCGTTCGATCTGCCCAGCCGTAATGGCCTTCCCACTGACATACCTCAGGATGAATCTTTCCACCTAGATCACTTTCTCAGTAGCTCGCCAACGTTCACCATGATCTTATATGCTCTTCCTTTGCCTCAAGATCAGGTTCAGCTAATTCGGGATTATTCTCACCAACATAAAATTCCTACAATTGCAGTTCATTCTGTTGGATACTACTCCTACTTCAAGACCACATTACCTGGCACATTTCCTATCGTTGACACCCATCCCGATGAGACCGCCACTACAGATCTGCGACTTCTAGCCCCTTGGCCCGAACTCCTTGAGTTTTCCCAGAGCATGACTGAAAACATAGACAACCTCGATAGCCATGAGCATGGCCACTTGCCTATGGTCGTCATTCTCCTTCATTATCTAGAGCAATGGAAACAAGCTCATGGCGGCGCTTACCCCACCAGCTACGTCGACAAGACCATATTCCGCAAAACTGTCTCGGAAGCCATGAGGACAGACAACCCTGAGGGAGGTGAAGAGAATTTTGAAGAGGCTATAGCTGCTGTGATGAAACACGTCGTAAAGCCCTCCCTTCCTAGTTCTCTTCGACAAGTCTTTGACCATGTCCACCAAGACCCTGTAAGAACAAAGCGCAATCAATCTTGTCTTGATCGCTAACCTTTGCCAGGAGGAGATCACGTCGGGTTTCTGGGTCACCACAGAGGCTGTGAAAAGATTCTATGACGAACATGGCCGTTTACCTGTCCCTGGAGGACTGCCTGACATGAAGGCTCAATCCAATGTGTACATCAAGCTACAAAACATCTACAAAGAACGGGCTCGCCAGGATGTTGCTCAAGTTCTGGAAACCGCCCGAAGTCTTCCTGGCGGTCAGGACGTGGATCCCGAGCAGGTGGAGCTCTTTTGCAAGAATGCTTCTTTTATCAAGCTCATTAATGCCCCTAGAGACACGACTACCAGTCTCGATAAGCTTGTCGGTAAGTGCAGCTCTTTCTGGTCAGAAGGACTTTCAATAACATATAGCGTACAGAACAAGAGCTAGCAAACGACGAGATGTCAGCCTTTGCTGGGCCTGAGATGCCTCTATCCCTAGTCCCACTGTACCTCGCCCTATTAGCAACATCAAATACCAAGACTGCTTCTGCAAATGAGATTATGGGTTTCATTGGCAAGGCCGCACCGAAGGCCACGGAAAACGAACGATACAAGAAGACTGCCCAAGAGGTCGAGCGCGCGGCCGGCGGCGAGCTTCACAACATATCAGCCCTCACCGGCGGCATGGTCGCTCAAGAGATGATCAAGATCATCACCAAGCAATATGTGCCCATCGACAATACTTGTATCTTCGACGGTATCGACAGCCGCTGTCAAGTCCTCCGCCTGTAAAGAATATCAGCCCTTGGAGGTACTCATGGGAAAGATGGAAACGGAGTAATGTCACGATTAATGACTGGATAGAAGGATTTACAATAGAAAACATCGCATCGAACGACTTTGAAAGCATCGTGGAGTAGCTCAACGTGGCAGGGTCTCCTGACGCTATCTTCTGAATGACAACAGGTTTCGGTTTCCACATCGCAATTCTCACTCAACCCCAACCGCAATCATCGGCCACGTGCTCGCCCCAGCCGTGAGCAAAAGACGGTACTTCCCATCCGAAGCAAGAAGTCCAAGACAATGAGAGTGGTACACACATCCAGCAAAAAAAACATACAACAGCGGGGATTCGCTGGTCATCACCGACCCAACTACTAATCCGCCGGTTAGTGGCTTGACTATGGGAGAGCGGACGGGATCCCGTATTTTCCACTACCTGTGGCCGTATGTGGTCAATATGGTGATGGTGCTGGTTATGGCCACTTCGCCTTGCATGTTCTATACAATGAAGCATCCGGGACGTCTCCCGATGTTCCTGGTATATGAGCAGGTCATGTTGCTTGACTAAGACAGTCCCTCTATGAGAACTAGTCACGTTTCATCGAAAGACTGCGTTTCCGCAGTCTCCTGAAATCATGAGCACGTATAAACAAGGCCTCATTCGGTAATAGTTGTGGGTTGCGGGGGCCATCGACATTCCTGGCATCAAACATGCCATCTCGATATCAGGCCAGGAACCGGTGAGGAATTATGTTCCTTTTTGCCGTCGTAAGATAACTATACTAAATTCTAGCTACCTATATTCTGGCAAGGTATATTGTGGGCAACGAATGAGCGCTGTTTTTGAGTTCGCCTGCCACGAGCTCCTTGCCCCAGCAAAACTGATCAAGTCCTCCACCGTCAGTTATCCTTGCTGAGTATTGCCAATTGCTAAAAGCCTCTTCCTGCCGAAAACTCTCTCTCGCATCTTCCCGAGATACCTATATACGCTAGCAGGGTTGCCTGGGTCGCATTTGTCTTTGGATCGACGCTCTTGTTGCCGATGTGGAGGCTGTGAGAACTTTGACGGGAACTCTCTAGAAACGACCGCAATCATCAAGGTACAACCTAGTTTGCTAGTCTCATAGGGCTACCAGTAAGTCCTCTTATTGCTCAGCTTTAGCGAAGAGGGCGGGAGCTTCAATGGAGGTGGATTGGCAGGGAGTGTTTCTTTTACCCCGGACGTCAGGTGGCAAGCGCTCTACCACGTATCAAGTTGATCAACAGTCGTATCAAGGGCGGATCACGGAATGATTTACCACTCACCGCTTTATGGCAATACGACGTCTTCTTTCAGCAAAGCTTCTGCTCTTGCTGGACATCGCCACCGCCTCTACATCGACTGCCAAGTTCTTCAAGCCTAGTGCTGTCTGGCCTCCGCTGTAAGGTACGCATAACCTGCATACCCGAGTAGCAGCAATTGAGGCCAAGAGTGTAACAAAGACTTCATGTCCAAGTTTGTTGCGTGTATTGGTGGCGGCCTGTATTCCTATGAAGCAGGTCGGCTGTCCAGCACTGCCCCTATAATACGTCCGGAGGTTTATTACCAGGATAACGATAATATCATTAGACTCATGGCTAATAACGAAGTTTACCTAACGCGCCGGATCTGCTGTGGATCTCGCAAGGAGCACTGTCTCCAGCCATCACTCGGCTAAGCTATATTTGATGTATATGATGGCCTCGTCAAACTGTAGGTTTGGTGACCTCCGGTCACATCTGTACATGAACCACGGGATATTAGGCGAAATCGAATTAAATCTTCGGCAATATTTTGGGCCGTCTCTGCTAGTCTACACTTGGCACCGAATTTCGGCGGCTACTAGTCTGAACGAGTGCAAGCTCATGGGGTCTCCAGTGCCGGATTTGAGGGGTGCTGCCATAACATGTTATCAGATCGAGTCACATATGGGGTATACAAGTGCCACTATACTGTTTTCTTCACTGTTACTGGGGATACTACAGGGGCTCTCAGCATTCTACGAGTATTATGATCGACGGACATGCAAAAGGACCGTGACCGGATGTTAACAACGTGCCTATCAGAGGACAGAATGAGGTTCTTTCTTCAAGATTCTAATATCTGGTGTGACGGAGAACCCGAGATTTCCGAGGACTTTTCCAAGGTTAAACACGAAAATCCTGTTCCGGCGAGAGAGGCATGAAGCAGAGCTACAGTCAGTGTCCGGAGCTTGTCGAGTGTTGCCAAAGTCAAAGTGCTCATGGCATCAGAGTATTCAATATTCATGCAAAACGTCAGCGAGAAGCAAAGAATAGGGTGTTGAGCTGCTGATGGAGGGTTAGTTCTGGGTTGAGTTTATTCTTGATAGAGACAATGTCCGGTGTTGAATCCGGGCATGATGGCAACCACGGGTTTACGCTCCGGCTGGCCGCTCGACCTAGAATCTCGGGCGTGGCTTTGAAGTGTCCAGCGCATGCATACAGACAGACAGACAGACGTATCCGTACAGATCGATGAATTAGATGAGAGTAGAATCACGAAGCTGTTTGGAATGGCTCGTTACAGTCAGACCCATCCGGCCGGAGGGGCAGAGGCGGCCATATCGCGCGCCGAGGCTGAGGACAGCGGGCGAGGGCCTGCCAGAGTGTTCCGATAGCCAACTCACGTGGGAACATGGTCGGTAAATCAGGCCGGCTCATTCTGCAGTGGATGAATCTTGGCGCCGGGGACCCCAGGTCTTTGTAAACTGAAGAGAGCAATGAGCGGGTCTCCCTCTGAGCGTGACGAGCAGTGGACACGGAGTTCGGTATCAGGACTATTATCCAGCCGGATCACGGTCACCTTCCCTGAAAGGTAACCAGGGTCCGAAACAGTTGGAGGGCTTGGAGGGGAAAACCCGGGGTAGAAGTCGTGGAGCTGGAGGGGATTCAGAGAAACGGGCCGAGGATCCCAGACCCTTGGTAGAGGGAGTATTAACCAGAGTTCTGTGAGTGGTATGAAAGAAGTCTCCGATGGGTCGATTAATGATCACACGCGCGATGCGAGGCTCATTTTTGACGAGAGTGCGTGCATTCTGTACTCGGTGCCTTGGGGAAGTTGGTGTCCCATCCTCGGAGGTTGTCCATGTGAACGAATCGCTTGCATTGCTTGATTTGCCTTGCTTTGCTTTGCTTGTGCCTGTGTGTGTGCGTGAAGTGCGCGCTTTTGTTCGTTCTAGTTAGTTGGTAAAAGCAAGGTGATGTGTGATGTGGTTAATTACTAAGGCAAGACTAAGGTCAATGGGGAGGCGAGTGGTAACATCGGATGAATACCTGCATGATATAGCGCCTGACGGAAAATTAGTCAGGGAGAGCGGAATTGCATTTGATTTTATCATTATTTGTTGTTTGTTTATTTATCTATTCGCATTTTTCTATTGTGCCGTGTTGTGAGAGCTCAAGGATTGACGGCCGATCTGGCAGATATGTAGATAAGTAGGTACAGATATATCTAGATCTCTTACATATACGAGCCAACATGTAATCCACTCTATGTAGTACACGATCTCGCTTGTCAACCCAGCACGTAGGTACCTTACTGTACGTACGCCTCAATTGTACAGTCAGGGCAGATCGTTCAGTGAATGTTGGTTCATCGATTGAGTCTCTTCCCCAGGAATTCCCCGTAACTTGTTAACTTAACCATAAAATTACCAAGTCCGAAATAGGAAGCTTGGGATGTGGTTCCTGGATAAATACAAACCGACCAGGGGGCCAGGGCATGGATAAACGTGATAGGGCAGCAATCGGCGGCTCGAACTACATGCACACTTGGATGCATGCATCTATCTGGCCCCTTCATCTCGTGGCCTTTTACTGCCCTGTTGCCTGTCGCATTAAGCCACCACAGTCATCCCATCCCCATCACTTCTCCATGTATCGACTCGGTCTCGGGCTTGGACTTGCACTTGCACTTGCACTTGCAAGGGGCAGCCGATGTATGTATGTATGTTGAAGAAGCATGATGAGGGAGCGACGTGTGATGGATGCGAGGCGAGGCGAGGCGAGGCGATGCTACTGTTACTCTTCGGGAATAAGGGACCTACCGCAACGCCGAGGCCTCTTGGAGAATGGAGATCTTGCTTACAAGCTTGGACTCTGCTAACTAGTTAGTACATACATACTCCTCCTCCGTTGCAGCCATCAGTCGACTGCCGTGAATGCTTCGGGCCGCCCAAGCCAATATGCCCGTCATTAAGGGCTGGGTTGGGTTGGATTTGGCTTGCAATGGTGAGGGGATAGCGTTGGGCTCGGCTGGGCTGGACTCGACGATGGAACTGCAGATACTCCTGAATCGTCACCTCACATCACCATGCCTTGCTTGCCCTGCTCTGCTCTGCTCTGCTCTGCTCTGCTCTGCTCTGCTCTGCTCTGCTCTGCTCTGCTCTGCTCTGCTCTGCTCTGCTCTGCTCTGCTCTGCTCTGCTCTGCTCTGCTCTGCTCTGCTCTGCTCTGCTCTGCTCTGCTCTGCTCTGCTCTGCTCTGCTCTGCTCTGCTCTGCTCTGCTCTGCTCTGCTCTGCTCTGCTCTGCTCTGCTCTGCTCTGCTCTGCTCTGCTCTGCTCTGCTCTGCTCTGCTCTGCTCTGCTCTGCTCTGCTCTGCTCTGCTCTGCTCTGCTCTGCTCTGCTCTGCTCTGCTCTGCTCTGCTCTGCTCTGCTCTGCTCTGCTCTGCTCTGCTCTGCTCTGCTCTGCTCTGCTCTGCTCTGCTCTGCTCTGCTCTGCTCTGCTCTGCTCTGCTCTGCTCTGCTCTGCTCTGCTCTGCTCTGCTCTGCTCTGCTCTGCTCTGCTCTGCTCTGCTCTGCTCTGCTCTGCTCTGCTCTGCTCTGCTCTGCTCTGCTCTGCTCTGCTCTGCTCTGCTCTGCTCTGCTCTGCTCTGCTCTGCTCTGCTCTGCTCTGCTCTGCTCTGCTCTGCTCTGCTCTGCTCTGCTCTGCTCTGCTCTGCCCTGCCCTACCTCATTGCTATTGTTGGTATGACACCTTGAGGGTATTCGTGTATTCGTACGGATACAGATATTGCCGGTGCTGTCTCTCACCAGTCTCGATGCAATGCAGAAGCGTCTAATTAACCTCGGGTACAATACACGAAATGACGCGCAGAAACTGATCTGTCGTGGAGGCGGCCCAGCAGATCACGTCCTGTCTCGTCCTACTCTGAGCAAATCTCCTCTGCAGGCATTTCCAAATGGGTCGCCATGCCCGAAGACAATTTTCAACAAGCAGGACCCTGAGTTTAACCTGCTTTTAATTTCACGTCCCATTACTTGGGCATAGTCAAATGTCATAGCCGCCCCCCTCTCATCTCGCCGGGCAAAACCAGTCGTCTGCTGCGTATCCGTAGTGTAGTGTAGTGTAGTGTTGTGTCGTGTCGTGTCGTGCTATGCTACGCTACCCCATACGCTCTGGATCGTCCCTCTTCATGCGTCCATTTCAAGGACTTGCATCATCCCACGAATGAGGACCCTGTTCTCCTGTTCCCCACGATCCATTCCCGTACTTCTAGCAGCGTCCTTCTCCGCATTATCTGCTAGGGGTGGCGCCGGCTCGACCGTAACATCGTCGCCGCTACTCTAAAGTCCTTGGCAGACCTGCTTCACTAACAGCACTACTTAATAAGTGTGGTGTCCAGCCTTACACAGATCAAAGTTTGGGGGCCCTTTCTCTTCGTGGCTTGCACAATAGGATTATCTTCCTGACTAGCGCTGTCAACTCCTTGTTACCTAACATGTCTCCCTCAAGTACCAAGGTTGCCGCTGGTGGCTCCTTTCACACCTGTAAGTCAATCTCAACTCATCGTCATTGTCGTCTTCATGTCCTAACAGCATCAAAGTTCAGGGCATCATTCCCAAAAAGCAGCCCGCTGCTTCCAGCAGTGCAAGACCTAGGGTCGCCGGCACCCGGCGCATAACAACTCCTCATGCCTGTACCGAGTGCAAGCGAAGAAAGATCCGCTGCGACGGCAAGCTGCCGTGCGGCCAATGCATCACTAGCCGAGCTCCAAAGAGCTGCTCTTACGATAAACATCGCCAGCGAATGATTCCATCCAGAAAGTAAGTGGCATGTCAAGAACTAAAGACCTCTTCGGCTAACCGTCCACCAGGGCTCTGGATAGCTTGGCACAATCTCTCGAGGAGTGTCGGTCAGTGCTTCGGCGCCTTTACCCAAACCATGACGTTTCTGCCCTCCGGACCATGGACAAACAGGAACTTATCAGCCTCCTGGCTCAATCGCAATGTCCAATTGGAGATCCTCTTCCATCACCACCTCTCGAGTCATCATTTCCCAAGCCAGACACATCTCTGGTACCATCAGACTCCCTCCTCGAACTTCAGTCTTCTCTCGAGGCTGACCTCGACTCGCTCATCGGAGAGCTCGAATTTGAGATGCCCACCGAACAGCTTGAAACCAATGATGGATCCGGCTATCTCACACAACAAACCTGGTGGGACTATAGCTCACGGCAATGGAGCTCAGTGCCTGTGCCATCTATGATGGAGGGTCAGCCATATGGCCATGACTTGGTCACTCCGATGCAACACTCAATGTACGAGGATGAGCGTGGAATCTACGGCTCACTTGAAATGAGATGACGAAAATGTAACCTTTCTTGATGTATTTTTACATGCGATTCCCGACTCTGAGTGGGTAGAGGGGTATCATGCACCCACCCCCCGGGGACGCAGGTCGTCTCCTTGGCCGGATCACAGCTTACGACAATGAAACGAGGTCACGACCCTTTACTTGCTTTACGTTGCTTCGCTTTACTTTAGGTAACTACTATCGTCCGTATGACTAGTACCTAAGGTACTAAGGTAGGTAGCTACTTTACTTTGCCTCCCTTAGGTAGTATCTTTATACCAACACATACATATATCTTGATGTTTGAGTACCTTACCTTAATACCTAAGGTACTCAAGGTCCCTTGGCTTAGACATTGCCTCTGTGTCGGCTTTTCTCCAATCCATTGTCGGGGTGATTTGAAGTGTACCTACTAGGTATCCCTTTAGGTGAGGTGAGGTAAGGTACTACCTATAGTAAGGTAAGGTAAGGTACCTACCTATAAGGTAGTACCTACAGGTAAGCAAACTTGAATTCCATATCTGGAAGGCATCACCGCGGTGCTCTTCCTTCCCAGGTCTGCTGGTAAACCGCATGCCAGTCCAATCCTCAAGACAGACGAACCGCAAACCATCCCCTTCCATCAGAGAACAACCATTCTTGGACACGATTCATTTCCGTGACGCGGGCGCAGAATCACAGAGGAGCAGGCATGGAGCACGCACTCACATGCAATAACCTCAAATGTCGAAGAGAGCTGAGCGAACGTGCACTTGTGACGACATGCAGGTAAGCATATGACATTCAGAAACCAGCGATCCTCTGACATCAAAATCAATAGCCATATCTTCTGCATGGATTGCGCCCAGCGACTCGGCGTCAACGGACAGGAAGCTGGTCGTCGCAATACATGCCCTGCCTGCCACTCGCAACTAACCAATCCGGACGACGCCGTGATTACGAACCTGAATCCAAGTGAAGACTACAAGACCAGTGTCCTAAGCGGACTGAGCCCCAACGTTATCATGGAATGTGCCGGCCGGGCTCTCAGCTTCTGGGCTTACCAGACCACCCAAGACATCTATTACCAGCAGTATTTATACAAAACCCTGACCGAAAAGTACTCAAGTCTCAGTGTCCGCCTCGAGAAGACCGTAAACGATGCTAACTCGGAGATCGAGGGTCTTCACCACAAGTTGTCAAGTTAGTGCTCTACTTCTCCCAAATTTGCACCTATTCAGCTGACACAGCGCAGGTCTAGCAGCAGATCAGGATGCTCTGCGGCGCAAGAATGAAGAAATCTCCCGGGCTTACAAAGACAAAAGTCGTAAGGTCCAGCAGTTACAAGAACTCTACGAAAAAGTCAAGAGGAAGGCTGAGCTTGGTCAGATTCAGAGGGCAGCATCGGATGCTGTTGACTCAACCTTACAAACAACCCAGATGGACTCAGGATATGAAGTTCACTTGCCTACACAAAGCCATGCTGAAAGTATCCCTCCGCCAGCCTTTAGCCAGAGTCATCGCATTGATATCTCGGGACTGAATACCGGCCTCTCACGAAACTATACAAATATAACAAGAGAAGGAAACCATTGGCCACGACTGGGAGGGTCATCCCATCGTGAGCATTTCCATTCCACCAACATACGGTACTTGCTGACGTATGGCAGGCGATACATCAGAAGCACCTGTTGGTGGCCTCCGCCGATCTGGCATCAACACAACATCCGTGCATCAAACGACAACATTGCCAACTCTCGCAGGAACCCCAATTCCTAGTTTTGGCGGTACAAGGCAGTCTACAATCGCGTTTGCTCCAGGCTTCAGTCATCATCGGGGTAGCCTGGCAGGTGTTGGACTAACATCCGGCATCAAAGTCAGCCAAGCGAATAACCCACCAGCATTGGATATGCCCTCGAGGCATCTATGAAATTGGTAGGACAATAAGCAAGTGATCGCCTTCAGTGCATCCAGTTTATTGCGCTATCTTCTGTCGCTTTGTTCTCAAGACCGGCATTGGCGGTAGTACTTGATGTTTCAGAACAAAGGAAGGGAAATTCAATAGTGATTTTGCTTTTCATGTACTCAATAGTGTTCCTATCTGGCGCTTTGTTCAAATTGATAGATGATCTATTCAGTTATTGCATTGATGGGAACACAGTGACCGTTGAGAAATCATATATGCATTTTCTGGTATGTGATGACGGAATCATCGACATTAAAAGCAGCAGCTTCCGCAGCATTCTAGACTTTATCTCCTCTTCTCCATAGGGAGCAGCACTTGTTTCTAACATCATATACTTTTACAACAGGTGATTAACATGCAAGACAGCTTCATCGCTAAGATTAAATGGCATACCCAATCGGCACTGGGTTTGCCGTCATCTGAGCCATCGGGCTCGCGAGATGGCGGTAAACCTGTGCGAATATTCGCGCGCATCAGGGAAAAAACAAGGGAATGGCACAAGCTGAGAAGGGTTGGGGGTAAACCCCAGAACCTACGGGCACAATATCTGGCTGAACAAGCCAAGATGCAAGGTATGGTTTCGCCCCCAAACACCATATCGCGTCTCGCCATGGAACTGCAACGGTTTCCCCCTTTACCGGCGGAGCTACCAGGTGACAACACAGATACATATTCCAGGGCGAGAATTGAGCGAGGTCAGTCAGCGCAGCAGCAGCAGCAGCAGCAGCATGAAGCCCCTGTCTCTCGTCCAGTTCCTACCACTGATGACTCTCATCAACCCGGAGAAAACGACAAATTCATTGTTGTTTCTGATCCGGTACTCGACAATGCGAAGGACTCTGGTCACCAATATAAAGACACGCCTCATGCACAGAGAAACAGAATTGTTGAATATGAGCAGGATCTAAGGATACTATCGGATGAGCCATGTATTCCTCGACCTCGGATAGGTCCAGGTCATGTCGTCCAAGATGATAAAGAAATTCTTCATCTCGAGACGCGCATACAGACGATCCGGAGAGATTGCGAACAGCTATCAGAAATCAGAACGGAGCTAGAGCGCCAAATCCTGGTAGCGAAAGAGTTTGCCTTCAAGCTGTACTGCCAGACACATGAATGGGAGTATCGGAGTCCAATTCTACAAGAACCTGTTCCCCTACTGCAGGTATTGAAAGGACTTCAAACTATCATGATGTGGCTACAAGCCCGCGTTCAGTGGTATGAAAGAAAGCACCCTGCGATTCGTGAGCACTACAACATGGGTATGAAATTGCAAAACAAGACTTCTGAGTTGGTGAGGCTGGAGGATAGCGATATTTAACTAGCTGGGCTATGCTTAGAGGGATTTGTCTTAATATCGAGGTAGATTAGCTTGGGTTTGTTTATTGAGTATATGTTTTTTTTTTTCACGTCTCTAACAGGGTGGTTAGCTATCTGGTTGTCTGGGACAGATAGAGGCGTCTTTCATGGGCAAGAGAGGACATAGATTGCAATAAGCGAATGCAAATAGAGATTATACACTTGGATAGATGAAAATTTCTCCTACGATAAAATATGGTCGAGGGATGCCATTCGGTCCATCGAAGGAGACTGGGTGTGAGTGTGATCGATCAATTTGCGCCAATGTTCGTATTGGACCTCACCTTATGCGGATGACTCTATATCTAGGGTAGGTATACCTACCTATTCTTAGATTTACACGTGATGGTGAGCTATTATAGGTCAAGATGGCATGGCCGCGTAAGCCTTAAGGTACAGCCCCCAGGGGTATTAAATGTTAAATTAGGTACGGAGGTCCCTACTAAAAGTTTTATCCTGCCCTCCTGTTTGTGACAGGGGACCCTAGGAGGTTAGAAAAAGCAATAAAAAAGGCAGTATATATTTTCCTTACTTATAAACCTTTTATAACCCCTCTATAAGCTATTAACTAATTTCTTAAGCTTTCTAATAATCTTATAAGTCCTTTAATTATAACTCTAAATATAAATATTATAATAAAGGCTTTTATTATATTTTTTAAGGCTTTATATAGTAGTAAGTTTTTTACTAAGGTTACTAAAATATTAAGAC